TAAGACACGACATACTTCGCTGAGATCTGACGTACGCTGGTGAGATTTCTAGCATCTGCAGTGTGTTGGTGAGATCTGTGGTATGCGTTGTGGGATCTGTAGCGTGTATGTCAAATTCGTAGTGCGCAGCTGAGATCTTCAGTGCGTCAACGAGACATGCCGTGCACATGTGAGGAATGCGCCGGTGAGATCCGAAGTGAGCTGATAGCATCTGCCCGCATATGGGCGGAACCTGTGTCGGTGACATCTGAGATAGCGCACGCCGGTAAGATCTCACATTACATTACTAATATCTGACTTGCGTGGTAAGATCTGAGGTAGCGCACGCCGGTGAGATCTCACATTACGTCACTAATATCTGACATGCGCGGTAATATCTGAGGTAGTGTGCATCGGTGCGATTTCACGTGCATCGGTGAAACTTTTGGTAGTGGCATCATCGATGTGTTATGAGGTAGTGCGCATCGGTGAGATGTGAGGAAGTGTGTGTCGGTGAAAACTGTTGTGCGTCGTTGAAATCTGAGATAGCGTGCATCGGTGAGGTCTGACCTACGTCGATGAGGTCTGAGGTAGTGTGCGTCGATGAGATCTGATGTAGTGTGCGTCCGTGAGATCTGAGCTGTATCGTTGAGATCTGAGGTGGCTTATGCCGGCGAGGGCTGAGCTGCATCGGTGAGATCCGAGCTGGCTTGCAGCGGTGAAAGCTGAGCTGTATCGGTGAGATCTGAGCTGGTGTGCGTCGGTGAGGTCTGAGCTGGTGTGCGTCGGTGAGATCTGAGCTGCATCGGTGAGATCTGAGGTAGTGTGCATCGGTGAATTCTGAGCTGCATCGGTGAGAGCTGAGCTGCATCGGTGAGAGCTGAGCTGCATCGGTGAGATCTGAGCTGGTGTGCGTCGGTGAGATCCGAGCTGCATCGGTGAGATCTGAGCTGGTGTGCGTCGGTGAGATCTGAGCTGCAGTGAGATCTGAGGTAATGTGCGTCGGTAAGATCTGACGCCACGCTGGTGAGATGTGATGGCGCGCCGGCCGACATGTGTCAGAGCGGTCCGTCACGGTGCGGCGGCCTCTGAAGCGCTGGTGACGAGATCTGACGCGGCCACGGCGCGCCGCGCCGCGACATTTCTGGCGCAGGCTCAGACAGGAGATGAGAGGCGCCGGCGCCGGCTGCAAACGTGTTGGTTTTACCCGGCTGTGAAGTTTTTACAGGATGCACGGTTGTTTCACACCAAAGCTAGCGCCTGCGCTCGTATTTCTTTATTATTATCAAATGTGGCAAAGCGTGCAGAGACGGCGGTTTGTTTATAATGAGAGGGACGGGGGAGCAAAGCAAATGTCCAGAGACAGACGTCTCGCGCGGCGCGCTGGTGACTCACATAGTCCGCGCGCGACCAAGGCCTCCCTCGTTCAGTTCGTCTGTCTCAGCCACCTGCCGTCTCTCCATCCACACTGGTGGCGGTGGCGGGGCTCCATGTGTGATCGGGCTCGGCCTCCGTGCGCTCCTGACGCTCTCCTGACCGCCAGGCGCGCCGCGCCACAGCTGTGGCCGACACCCGAGTCGGACCCGGGCCCAGTCGGCCGCGCTCCGTGCGGCACCGTGTGATGAACAGCAAAACAAACGGGGCAGGGGCGTGGGGCGCGTGCTGCGCCGGTCGCAGCAGGTTTTTATCCGGCCCCGCCTGATCTAGGCCCTGTTTACATATGAAGCGGCGGCGGCAGCGTCGCATCGGGCACTCGCGCCGTATTGTCCAGATGCTCGTTCCACACAATGCTCGCGCCTGGCCGGCTCGGTCGTCTGATGTCACCGACTGTTTACACTGTCGGCCGGACCCGGGCCGGCAGAACACAGGCGCCGCCGCCGGCACCGTGGCCGTGCGGCACTCACTGCGGAACAGCCCCACCCCCTCCCCCAGCCCCTCCCCGTCGCTTGCCACCCCGCCGGCAGGCACATGCAGAGGGAGTCACGGGGAGCGGGGTGGTCGGAGGGGCGTGCTGGGCACGACGGTGGGCTGCAGACGGGCCCGGCGCCCTGACATGCCACCAGGCCTCCACGAACGGCGCGGCCAGCACGCGATCAGCCTCCGCGGGAGGAGCCGGACTTCGACAGCGACCGGCCGGCGATGGGACGACTTTTACGGACGCCGGACTGTTCTGGCCGTACTGCCGGGACTGGCACGGCATGCGAACAAGACATGCTCCGTTAGAGCAGCTTTTGAGTATGCTGACAAACAACTCACCGGACTGAGTGGCGTGTGTATCGTGTTGAGTCGAGCTTGCTCCACTGTCTCGGCCTTCAGCAGCGCTGAGTGGACCTGACACTGAAGCGGCAGCACATGCCGTTTTTGCAGCAGGAGGGTGAGCAGGGCAACCAGCAGAAAAGACCACCTGAGCCTGGCGTTTTCAAGAAGCGTGTTTCGTTATGCGCAAAGGGCTGCGACGAGGGATCGGCCTCAAATGCGTGCCCATGTTACAGTTCGTCTTTTATGAGCGTGCATGCCTGACCAGTAAAAGCCGTGAAACATATCAAATTACAGCCTAGCCACTTGAAAATATTTTAACAATTCGTCGCTCTGAGGTGGTTTACACCCCATTGGCCAGACTTCGGCCAGAAAGCTGCCAAGTAAATTGCCAATGTTTAAAAAAGAGCACAATTGCTTAGCTTTGACCCGTTGCTCCGCGGTTGCGCCTCTCTTCTTCACCCTTTTTTCTTACTTCCAACACCCCCACCGCTCCCGCTCCTTCAAAATTAAAACTAATAGCACAGATTACGGATGCAGATGGTTTAACACGCGCTCAGGTGGGGTTAACAATTTTGCCCCCACCCCCTCTGAGGTTTTTCCAGAAAACCCCCCCGAACCGTGCTGCGTAGTTACGCCAAACCATGTATAGCTATAGGCCATTGAAAAGCCGATATTTTTACGCTAAGAAAATAGACATACCTCATATGATGGCTGACGTGCAGCAGGCCAAAGCCAGACCGCAGCTGTCAGCGGAGACAGTGTCTCGGAAATATGTCCAGCTCATACTTCCGTGTAGTGTTAGACGAAGTCATATGCCTTTAAGGTGGTTTGTAAAACAGTAATACAATTGCATTACGTATTACAGCTAACTCCATTGACCTGGGGTCAGGTATGAAGGTCAGATCAAAGTTCTAACCAAACCGTTATTTTAATTGAAAGCTTGCTTAATGGCATACTTTGTGACGCTCATTTTGAATCCCTTTATCACGAGGATCAATTGATCACAATTCCTTGATTACGTTAACACATTCCTTACGTTGGTTTCAATAAGGTTAGGGGAGATCACCGACTTAAAATGACCTCGCTCGCTCGTTTTCTTTGAGGAGCATGCCGCCTAGGGTGGCTCTATACGTCAATTGTAACTTCAAACTCAAGTAATCTCGAAGAATTTTGGCCTTTTTAACCTTCTTAAACAAGTTATCTAGGTTAAGGCTGCTTGGATTAGGGGTTCTGAGGGTATCTCGAACACCGACCTCGAGTTCGACAATATTTGACTTCATTTGACCGGAAGGTTACGACCTAGGGTCCATAAAGTTTGCCATTAACGAGCTCACATAGATCGCCATCTTCCCTGCGAGTTTGATGTTTCCAGTTCCTTAAGTTTTTGAGATCTCAGGGGGTCAAATTGACCCCGCCTCCACTCAACCGCGTCACATTCAACTGGCCACCCGGGCGTGCTTCAAAATACTTTGGGTCTCCAAAATGTATTGCAAGGGCTTTAAACCTAGTGTTGATTGACTCCATAGCGGAGGGACTCTGTACCAGAAGAACGGCGGATCTTAAGCCCGGCCACTTACCATGCCGCCAAGAAGCCCTCATCTCTGGTTTTTCCAGCCAACGATCTTTTCTTGGCAGAGTGAGGTGCTATCGCATGCACGGCATCCCAGGCCTGAGACGCAGACAGTGCCCAGGGCCCTAAAGCCAGCGACATG